AAAAGCAAGGACCTACAACCAAGCAAAGCTATCATTCAGAATTGAAGGTCAGATAAAGAGCTTCCCAAACAAGGAAAAACTAAAAGAGTTCATCACCACCAAACCAGTATTACATGAAATGTTAAAGAGTCTTCTTTAAGAAGAAAAAAAAAGTTCAAAATATGAGCCATAAAATGGCAATAAATATTTATCTATCAACAATTGAATCTAAAAATCAAAATAAACCAAAAAGCAGAACAGAAACAGACTCATAGATACAGAGGACATATTGATGGTTGCCAGATGGGAGGGGAGGTGGAGAATGGGTAAAAAAGGTGAAGGGACTTAGAAGTACAAATTAGTAGTTATAGTGTAGTCATGGCAGTGTACTTTATTGTATAAAGTACAATATAGGGAATATAGTCAATAATATTCTAATAACTATGTAAAATGTCAGATGGGTATGAGATTTTTGGGGATGATCATTTAATAAGTTTATAATGTCTAATCACTGGGGTATACACCTGAAATTAATATGATATTGTATGTCAACTGTAATTGAAAAAATGAAAAATAATGTTAAAAAAAAATGAAGCACCAACATGAGAGACTCATTGATTGGTTGCCTCCCACTTGCTGGGGATGAACCTGCAACCCAGGTACGTGCCCTTGACTGGGAATCCAACCCAACACCCTTTGGTGTGCAGGCTGATGATCCAATCTCTGAGCCACACCTGCCATGGCAGGGAAATCTTGTGTAAATTGTCAAAGATTGAAGATATCAGGATTCCAAAATATTCAAGTGGAAAAATATTGGCAACCCCTTGAGGGCCCTGGAACCAGCATTCGTGCATTATTTTTCCAACTAACTAGGGGCTATCAAAGCCAAGAAAATGGTTTACAGGGGAGATGCCTTAAAATAACAGTAAGATGAATTCATTTCAAAATATTTGGATGTGAAAATATGCTGTGGGGCAGTCAAGGCCCAACGTCATTATTGATAGAACCTAAGCATCAGAAAGTAAAAGTCTGTTCTGTGTTAGACTACATGAAATGACTGGCTCAGGAGCCTTAGGAAGCAAACATTTCTACATTTCCTCTCTCCATCCTCCCTCTGTACAGATGGGAAGACTTAACACCAACACCAGCAGCTTCCAGCCTCCTTCCTCACTTTTAACAGCTCCTGCATCCTGAAGCCTAAAGCTTACACTTTCTAAGAAAATCCATATTCCCTCAGTGCAGAAGAGAAAAGCAGTGAGCAAATAAAGCCACTTTGTTTCTCCAAAAGCTTTCAAAAAAGAATAATAAGCACAAAGAGTAATAAACAACTGACCATCTCAACAGGATAGTGTCATAGAAGAAAAGGGGAGCTGGGGGAGCCCCGCCCGAGCTAGGGTAAAAGTGACTAATGTGACATAGCCAAACACAACCCAGGTGTTTTTATTGGATCCTCGCTTGAAAAGAAAATGAATGTAGAAAACGTTTCGGGGACACTGTGGAAACTTGAATGTGGACCAAGAAAAGAGGACATTAGGAAATTACACCTGAAATTGTTTTCAGTGTGATAATAATGTTGCAGTTATGTAGGAAACTGTCCTTATTTTTTTAAAAAAATGTATGCTAATGTATTCAGAGAAAAATAATATATCCACTTTAAGATGGTTCAGCAAAAATTTAAATGCATAGATATAAGTACTTACTTATATAATAAATATAGCAAAATATTAATATTTGTTGGATGGGGAGTAAGTGAATAGATGCTTTTGTCTATTTTTCCATAAGCCTTAAGATTTTCATATTCAAAATCTTTAGAAAAAATAAAAGGGCAGTCTTTATGCTGCTTTTGTCCATTATTGTCATGAGTGAATTAGGCTTACTGTTACTAGATACTCTGAATGTTAAAATAAAATTTTATTTATTAAAATTTTTAAAATGGTAATCTGAACTTTGTATATAAAATACCTTTTCAACTTAAGAAAATATTAACACTCAAATGTTTTTTTTTGTTTTGTTTTGTTTTTAAATATATTTTATTGATTTTTTACAGAGAGGAAGGGAGAGAGAGATAGAGAGTTAGAAACATCGATGAGAGAGAATCATCGATCAGCTGCCTCCTGCACATCTCCTACTGGGGATGTGCCCGCAACCCAGGTACATGCCCTTGACCGGAATCGAACCCGGGACCTTTCAGTCCGCAGGCCGACGCTCTATCCACCGAGCCAAACCGGTTTCGGCTAACACTCAAATTTATAAACAAATAAAACCAGCAACAACAAGAAAACACCTCTGCCGGCCTGTTATAATGCATTGGATGCTGACGCTGACCCATAGGCCTCTAATTTCCTGTCTCTGATTTAGATCGTTTGCACCTTAACCCTTTTCTTTTACACCTTAGTTCTCTCCCTCTCCCCTTGATTTTCTTCTTTTTGAAAGTGATATCTAGCTAAGTTGGTCCTTGCTCACTCTTGCTTTTCTTTTTTCCCAACTGGTCTCTGCCACTTTGCAGTTTCACTGAGCAGTTGGTGGATAATGTGGGAATTAATCAGGCTATGAATTTCTCTGGAGTATCCGATGAATTAGCAAACTGAGAATTGTTTAATAATTATCCCAGGGCACTAAACATTATCCTAACGATCTAAAATAGTTATTAAACCTCCCCACTTCAGATTATTAAATTGCAACATCTGTCTTCAGGAAGCATGTCTATCGCATGTAATATTTGCCAAACATTTACAACTGCTTTTAGTTATATCTCAGACCCTATGATAGGGTTATAGTTTTTCCTCATTTAATGGCTGAAAACAGTAGGCCAGGAGTCTTAAAGGTAACTTCAGTCCTCCGTATGAGGATGTATTAGACCTAGGCAAGCTTCCTGGATGACAGGCTGCTGCTTATCCAACTGTGCCACGTTCTCTCTAGCTCTTGTTTGCTTTATTAGCTAATTACCAGGCTGCATATTCAACCCAGGTTCCAACTATATTAAGGGCTATTTACTAGCTAAAATCAATACCCTTTCGATTAGACACCTGGTGTGGCTTTTGGTAACTAAGCATTATTTGGGCTTCACTGCTTTTACTCCTTCAGGGAGATGGGAAAGGGCTTTGTTTTGATTTTTTGCACTTAGTGGCTACTGTTCTTAGCGGTAGGAGATAAAGGGCAGTGGAGGCTCGCTCTGCCATGGCAGAGACTACAGACAAACACATAATAGTTACTGCACAAGGAAAGGGACAAAGGAAAATAGCATGACCAATAGTGATTTTACTAGTTTAAAGATCTTTTTCAATGAAAGAAATCTCTGTGAATATTTGTCTGGTGTGCCTGGCACTACTAGTATATTAACCCTAAAAATGAAAAGATGAATGAAATACATATTCCAACTTTGTCAAGTTGAAAGGAACAACTTTGAAACAATAATTTCTGTAAAAGAATGGAAAGAACAAAAAGTAGATGCAGAACTGGGTTTTGACATAGCGTGGTAAAGGGAATGATTCATTCTTTTTGGAAAGGCAAATGCCAAGGAGGCTTTTTTATTGTTAATGGTGGTGAAACCAACCCAAAAAGCCCTTGGTGATGTAGGTATCTCATTACAGAAATAATCCATGTTCATTTTGGAAGCATGAAAACATATAGACAAAAAAGAGAAAAATATCTCTGTCATCCCACCACTCAGATCACAATTAACCACTGTTGATAACTTGCTATAAACATTGTAAGAATGTTTTATACTATATAGTCACAATTTTTTAAGAAAATATTAAAAGCCAGAAGAATATGTGAAGACATTGGGCTTTGAATCACATTGTTCAAAACAGGTCTTACCACTTATTATCTTCCTGACCAGGCAATCTGCTTAATCTCTCTGAGCATCTGTTTTTTCATCTATAATATATGGGTATTGGTACTTACCTTAGTGGAGTGTTGTAAAGATAAATGATTTAACAGAAGTACAATTCTTAGTGAACAACCCTGGGTAGTAGAAATCACTTAACAGCTTCATTTATCCAACAAATGTTTATTAAGAGCCCTTTGTACTAAGAATTTAGCCAACATCAGTGAACAAAATATATTTTTTTAAATATTATAATTACTAATATAATGTTCTGCAAGTCTTTTCATTTAACATAATATCAAGAATACCTTTCCATGACAATAAACATAGATTGGCATCCTCATTTTTACTGATTGCACAGCACTTCAAGGAGAAGTTATACCATAGTTTATTCAACCAATTGCCTATACAAAGGACCTACAAAGATGGCTTCCAATTTGTATTATAGATAACATTGCTTTAAATATCTTTGTATTTCTTGTTCAATTGATTTTTTAGGATATATTTTTTAGTGGAATTATTGAATCAAAGATGATGAACATTAAAAAAAAAAATTTAACACCTGTTACTAGCTTGCCCAAGGAAAGCTTTCAGTGGAAGGTGTAGCAGAGCTGGGTGTTGCAGGATAAGAGGTTTAGGGAAAAGAGTGAAGAAATAAAATAGAGTCACTCTGGTCAAGCTGCTAAATTATTAAAAACAAGCAGGCGGAGGCATAAGGAAACAATTCTATTCTTGCTTTAACTAGTCTGGAACTTAAACTTTTTATTTTTAAGCAATATTTTGTTTTATTTTTTAAATATGTTTTTATTTATTTTAGAGAGAAAGGGAGAGAGAGAAACATTGATTGGTTGCCTCCCATACCATTCCAACTGGAGATCAAACCCACAACCTTGGTATGTACCCTGACTGGGAATCAAACCTGTGACCCTTCGGTTCACAGGATGACTGGAACTTAAACTTTTGAACATTCAGTTGTGCACCAGTGCTAGAATGTACCTAAATTCTATAAATAAACCTCTGAAGGACTTAAGAAAGAATGTTCATGTGTTGGAGATGTATATGAGAGTGGTCAAAACTTGGTTTACAGTTGTATGCAAAACAGATTATTCTTGTATTATTATTTATTAATTATTGTATTTTCCATACAAACACCTGCAAACCTGCTCTTGCTCACCCTGTATAACTCTTACAGATAACCACTTGCCATGCTTAAGAAAGAATATTTCATTATTCAAGCCACCTGGCATCCATTATCCAGACCACCTGGCATCTGGGAGATTACCATCCGGAGCCAATCTGTGGGCTAAGAACTGACTATTTCAAACGTGTGCTTTTCACTGTAAAACCTCTCAAACTTTCCTTTCTCCTTTGTAACGCTGGGTATTGCCCACCTGTGTTTGTGATTTGCAAATCCTAAGACCCTTGAATAAATCTTTGTCATTTACTTTTAGCCAAAGCCTCCGGACTCTTTTGAGCTCAGTATGAGGTTGGGGGAGGAAAACATGAACAGGAAAGAGTTCCTTAACCTCAGGTTGCTCAGAGGTGAGGTCATACTCTAAAGCAGCAATTTTCAACCTTTTTCATCTCATGACACACAGAAACTAATTACTAAAATGCAGCGGCACACCAAAAATAGCTTTTTTACTGATCTGACCAAAAAAAAAGGTATAATTTTGATTCAATCACACTGGACGGCTATTGTTGTGTTGGCTGTTGGACATTTTTTTATTTGACAATCTAAGGGAAAAAAAGGTCAGTGCCCCTGACTAAATAGTCAGGCATTGCATGTTCTAAAAATTATTATACCACACAGGTGTGCCTCTTGTGGTACACCCGTGTACCATGCCACACTGGTTGAAAATCACTGTTCTAAAGAAGCAAGGCACCTTTGGCTTGGGGCTAATAAGATTTTAAGGACCAATAATTTTAAAAGATAACTTTTCTGCCAGAACCGGTTTGGCTCAGTGGATAGAGCGTCGGCCTGCGGACTCAAGGGTCCCGGGTTCGATTCCGGTCAAGGGCATGTACCTTGGTTGCGGGCACATCCCCAGTGGGGGGCGTGCAGGAGGCAGCTGATCGATGTTTCTCTCTCATTGATGTTTCTGGCTCTCTGCCCCTCTCCCTTCCTCTCTGTAAAAAATCAATAAAATATATTAAAAAAAAAAAAAAGATAACTTTTCTGGTAATCTATGCTATAGGATATAAAGAATAAGAGTTGGGTTTTTTTCCCCTTTCAACTCTCAAGAATACTGTAAGTAGTTGGAGCACTTTTGAAATGCTAGCATGCACATTTCCATGACCCACATCATCAGACAGGATTTTCAAGAAAGGCAAACCACTGTTACCTCCTAGCCCACTCTGCCAATACCTACTCAAGAACCTCTTTCTGCTCCCATGAAAAGTACAGATGACAGGCTGCTTGAAGCAAAGTTGTTGTCGTTTTATATTAAATGTATGTAAAAATAACCTAGAGCACTTGTTTTAAAATGTTTGAGTCTAGCCCAGCCAGTGTGGCTCAGTGGTTGAGCACTGACCTATGAACCAGGAGGTCATGGTTAGATTCCCAGTCAGAGCACATGCCCTGTGGCAAGCCGGATCCCCAGTGTGGGGTGCAGGAGGCAACTGATCAATGATATTCTCTCATCATTGATGGTTCCATCTCTTTTTCCCTCTCCCTTCCTCTCTAAAATCAATAAAAATCTATTTTTAAAAAGTGCTTGAGTCTAGGAGTAAAGGGTACCTACACAGATTTTGCCTCTGTAAAAACAAGTTGGGGATGAAGGATCTGCATTCTAATGAGCATCCTCAGCTAATTGGTATGTAGGTAGTCCTCAGGCGACATCATGCTGAACAGACTGCACAGTGTTGAACAACTCTGCTATAGACCTTTGCTACTCAAAGAGCTGTTCCTGTGTAAGCAGCAAAAGTATCACATGTATGCTTATTAGAAATGCAGAATCTCAGATCTTACCTTAGACCTGCTATACAGAATTGGCACATTAACAAGTTTCCTGGATGATTTATATGTAGATTAAAATTTGATAAACCCTGGTCTATAGGACAGCTGTCAGTAAATAATCTGGGAGTAGATCCAACACACAAAAAAATTCCCACGAAAAGTAGAAATCCCATCCATTTGGTTTTGGGGGACCTAGAATTCAGATAATACTGGACACTGGGAAGATGCAGCAAGAAGCCTTGTATCTCAAAATTGTTTCCAGTTTCAATTGAGTAACTTGGGTGAAAAAAAAAAAATCCCAGAAGGGTAAACCTGTGGTATATATAAATATTCTAGGAAAATTAATGGGAAAAAATGAGGTCCAAATGGTCTATTAATAGTCCCCTAGTTATCCCCTTCTGCTTATATATCAATTTCTAACTCTTTTCTAGGTATAAATGACTTCATGGGTAGTTGTAGCAAAAAAGACTGAAATAGCTTGAAGTATGATCAATAAATACTAAATGAAATAACATTGGTTTTGGTTTTATTTTTCTTGTCAGTTTCTATTGACCAACCTTTTAAATTGTAAAATTATGCAGCTGGAACTAAAAGTAAATAGTGGCAATGATGGAGTTTTTATTTAGCATGACTAGTTGATATTTTAAAAGGTGCAAACTTGGACCCTACCTGGTTTGGCTCAGTGGATAGAGCATCAGCCTGTGGACTAAAGAGTCCGGGTTCGATTCAGGTCAAGGGCATATGCCCAGGTTTCAGGCTCCATCCCCAGTGGGGGGCATGCAGGAGGCAGCCAATCAATGATTCCCTCTCATCATTGATGTTTCTATCTCTCTCTCCCCCTCTCCCTTCCTCTCTGAAATCAATAAAAATATATAGTTAAAAATAAATAAAATGTGCAAACTTCATAGAATACATCCTATTGAGTTACAAATTTTATTGCGTTAGTCTTTTTAGAAATCTGGCTAAAGATTTCTAAATCTGGCTAAAGATTTCCATCTTGTAATCAAATGTGAACATTTGTTAGGATGTCAAAAGTTTCATTAAATAGTTCAATAATTATTTCAGATCATTATAGTGGAATTTACAATAAACCCAAAGGGAAAATTTATGTTGGATCAAGTAACAATTTTGTGTCCCACAATTCCTTGTTTCAAATACACTTACAGAAATTTTTCAAAGTTTGTTAGAACTTAAAAAATGCAATGTAAATTTAGTTGTCCTCATTCTCTGTATTTTATTTTAGATAAGCAATGGTTGATTTTTATTAACAAAAGCAAAAAAGACACAGAAATAGCCATAGAGCACTTACAAGTTTTTGATTGGTATTCATCAATGTTTATTTCACTATAAGAATACTTAGGTATACGCATAACTCATGGACACAGACAATGGGGTGGTGAGGGCCTGTGGGGAGGGGAGGAGCAGGCTGGAAGAGGTCAATGGGGAAAAAGAGGGGACTTATGTAATAATCTCAACAATAAAGATAAAAATAAATAAAATTATGTCAAGTGGGTAATGGGAAAAATAACTTAGGCAAAATCTAAGAAGATGATAGGGGACCAATCTCCCTTTCTGGTAATGCAAATTCAACAACATTCTGTTTCTTCAAACTTGTTCTTGTTGATGATAAGTCAGATAATGATGATAAAAGACAAAAGAGGGGGCCCTGGCATGGTGAATCCGTCGGTTGAAGCGTTGTCCCATAAGTTTTCAGATTCTATCCTGGGTCAAGGCAAGTATATGAAAGAACCAATGTTTCAGTCAATGTTTCTCTCTCTCTTTCCCTTTTTTTCTCTCTCACATCAATAAAAAGCATATCCTTGGGTGAGGATTTAAAAAAAAGACAAAAGTGATCAAGAAAAAGAGAAAACCAAAAGGGAATTTCTGAGGAGTTTTAGGTCCCTTAGATATATAAATTTAATGCCAACAATATCAACAAGAAAAAAAAATTGGAATGCTGATTCTTTTTTCTTAAAAATGAAAAGAAATGATATTTCTTCATGAAACTAAGCTCCATGACCTGCCATAATACTTCACAGTCCATTTGACTGGTCAGAGAAAAAGGGCTTTGTAGGAATCTTGTTTGCCATTTTATGATTCATGATATAATATTTCTCAAACTTTTAATATTTTTAGATGTTTTGTACTGGCTTCAACCTGTTACCACTGTAATTAGCTAGTTATCTATACTAATAATAGAGGAATATGCAAACTGTCCAGGACTCTGTCACAGAAATGACAGGCTGCGTGGGGTGACAAGGCTGGGAGGGGGGTTAGTGAGAGATGACCAAACTATTGAACAGCGAGCTGCGTGGGGCGACCATACTGGCAGGGGGAGCAGTTGGGGTAACCAGGCCGGTGAGGGGAGGCAGTTGGGAAAGACCAGGCCAGCAGGGGGGGGGGGGGCAGTAAGGGGCAACCAGGTCGACAGGGGGTGGGCAGTGAGGGGTGACCAGGCTGGTGAGGGGAGCAGTTAGGGGTGACCAGACTGGGGGGGAGGGGCAGTTAAGGGCGACCAGGCCAGCAGGTAGGTAAGCAGTTAAGAGCCAGCAGTCCCAGATTATGAGAGGGATGTCCTGGATTGGAGAGGGTGGAGGCTGGGCTGAGGGCACACCCCCCTCATGCACAAATTTTGTGTACCAGGCTTCTAGTTGATAATAATAGGAAAAAAGCAAAGGGAAGGCCAGACATTATAAGCATGGTCACCTGGGCAGCTTCACCAGGAAATTGCAATTTCATACTCCCTCAGGGAACCACCAGTCTATTCACTGCAGATCACTGGGGGAAGAGATGGGACAAAGGGTAAGATGGGCATATGTGCAGTAAATTGGGGTGACATAAAGAAAATACTGCCTGTCTGTGTAGCCTGGGGAATCATGGATTGGCCAGAGTAGATGGAGCAACTGCAAGTGTATGAAATCTTAGAAGGTTAAAATTCACAAAGGAATTCTCTCTCTCTTGTTGCTCTTGCTTCACTCCTGCTTTTTTGCATTTGCGTGTTCCTTGACAAATGTGGCCCTAGAAGCTGCATGGCCATGGCCATGTGGACCCTACGCAATGGACTGCAGCTGGGAACACAAGCTAACCTAGCCAGATGCTGGCCTGGACTGTGGAAGTATGAAGCAGAAACTCTGAGCAATGGCTTTAACCCTAGCTCTGCTGAAGACAAAAGTGATATGAGATTTTGGGACTGGAACATGTGGTTCCAGTCGGAGTCAAAGAATGAAGCCACAGATGGAAGAGGTATAGCAAAGGTGGGAATTTATTGAAGAACAGGCACAGACTCCCACATGGGGAGGGGGAAAGAGTCCCACCCAGTCCTTTCTTCCACAGTTTATAAAGGCTGCAAGTCCCTGTATCCTGATATCCCCTCTGATTAGCCACTATCCCCCTTTTGTTTTGGTCACTATAGCAACTCCTGAGCTCAAAGGTCAAACCTCATAGGGGACATGTGAGGCCCTCCTTCTTAGTTTGTAAATATAGGCCTTTTG